CGGGCGCGCCGCTACTTACTGGCTCTGCCGGCCGGCGGGCGCGGAGGCGGCCGCGGCGCGCTGGTGGAGTTGCTGCCGGAGACACGCTTGGCTGCCTGGAAGGCGCTGCAGGAGGCGGAGAAAGGGCCGCGGCGCCCCGCCGCAGACCTCGGCCTCGGGGGTGACTCTTGTCCCCGCTCCTACCCCGGGCGCACCCCCCTATTTTCACTTCATTCTTTCACGCCAGCCCGCGCCCGCGCCCGGTTCTCCCTCCAGCGCCCCGAACCCACGTCCCCAGCACACTCCGAGGCAGGCCGGTGCCAGCCATGAGCCTTTTGTTCTGGGACCGTTGCGAGTCGGCCGTGCTCTCCCCGCCCGGGGAAGCTCGCTCCCCAGGCGCAATCCGGTCCCTTCCCCAGCTACCCGAGGCCTGGCTAGGGTTGCTTCTCGGCGGCCGGGGGGGGGGGCCGGAGAGGAGCGCTGCGGCCCCGGAGGAAAACGGGGTTGCCAAGACCTGAGGGCTCCGGGTAGCGGCGGCCCTGGGATCCAGGGGCCCGGCAGGGGTGAAGGCCCTCCAGGCATGTCCCCAGAATGAGGTTGCACCTGACGCTGATCTCTACCCCGGGTCTCATGGCCCCCGCCTGCAGCCGCATAAGAGCGTGTGATGGAGCCTCCGTCTCCAGAAGAGCCAGGTGGTGGTGAGATGCTCTTCGATGGGCCACTGGAAGTATCGGTATGAACGGTGCTTACCAATTACTTCGGATGCCTAGCAACGGAGTCTTGCATATAGTAGATGCTGAAGAAATGCTTGCTAAATGGAGCCATGCCCTGGTGTTGGAAAGAAGTCATTTGAGTTACTCAAAGTACCACTCAATCTGTTATCTTGAACCGCTCCTGTGGGCCATCTTTGTGCCTGCATATGACAATGAGCAAGATAGACCTTGCCTTCCAGTTTACTGTCTAGTGCCCTGAGGTCAGATTAGATTGGCCATTGCCTTAATTTATCTAAGAGAGAGTGACTGCCCAGCTTGTTTTCAAGGCTGCCTGCTCTGGCCCTAACCCCTATGCTAGCAGGCGATTTCTGAATTGCATGCCATTGAGCTACTTGGAGGCTTCTGGGGGGATGGCAGCAACATCTTTCTCAACACCCATCCCTCGCTCTCTATCCCATTCAGGTTTTTGAATGCCAGGCAAGATCTACCAAGGTCCACTGCTGTCTCTGAGGAGGGTTGGCAGGTGCTTCGTTACTAACCCTACAGGTGGCTTGGGCTAGAGCCCTGCATTCTTTAGGTCCCCACAATGGTCCTGATTAGATTGCACTTCCCTAATTTTTTGGCCATGAGCAAGTTGCCAGGACTTTCTAAGCCATCTTCTCTGGGACTCTGTGTCCACACTTTGCTCCCCTCTACTAATAATAGAGACCGTGGATGAGACACGAAATGAGTCCAACAAGGAATTTCTGCCTGTCTAGCTTGGCCCTAGGGACACCAATGTGTATGTCAATTCTGTTCCCAAGCCCCAAAGAAGCTGTTTCTCAGCTCCTGAGAAAGCCTTTAAGAGCCTCATTCACCCTCTCCTCCCTGCTCACAGACAGGAGTGTGCAGCCCAGTCACTGCAATGCAATGTATTATCTGCATCAGAGTCAGAGAGAGGTGTCCACAGAGAAAGATTCCCTCCTGAATCTTTTGAGAATAGAGAAGCAAAACTGACATTGATCAAATACCCCCTCAGGCTCTCACTCCACTCATTTTCCCTGCATCACTTTAAAGAAGATTTAACTGGCCTCATTTTACAGATGAGAAGATCAAGGCTCAGAGAGATAAAGACCATGTCCAAGGTCAAAGCACAAAGATTCTCCCCGCCCCCCCCCCCAAGTGAGTTCATTTGGCTCCTGGACCCACCAATCTGACCCTGAAAGTATCAGATGGGTTCTTTGGGGTAATGAAGACTCCGATGGCTTCTCTGCAAAAAGATTTAGACTGTCCTGCTGTCCTGGAATCTAGTCCACTGTCAGGGGCACAGAGTGCTCCGCCTTAGGGATGCTTCGTTTGGCCACTCAGCGAACAAATATTGAGCTTCCTTTCTGTTGCAGCTTTTCATCAGAAGTTGTTTTGGCTCCCCATAGAGAACCTTTGGCAGAGAAGCTTTGATAGGACATTTATTTGGGAGCTGGGGGGATTGGAATGGACCCCCGGGGTCTAGGCTAAATCACTACCCGCCCCCCCCCTTTCTCCCACTGCCCACCTCTGGGGCTTTCTCTGACCTCCGCTTTCATTCCCCCTTCTCAGAATATAGACAATGACAAGTTTAGGGGTCTCGGGGGAGGAACCCACCCAAAATGAATGAGTGGATTGGTTTTCCCAGCACCCTTCCTTTAGCGCCTGAAATCAACGCTCCTAAAGCTGCGTTGTTGGCAATGGACTGCGTGGTGGAAGAGGGGCGGGGTAGAGGGAGCCCCCTCCCAAAGAAAACAACCGAATACAGTAACCCTTTGTGCTCCTGCGAGCCCTTTCATCCTTTTCAATTCTACCTCTTCTTATCATAGACTCGATTCCACTCACCGCAGGAAGGAAGAAAGAAGTGGTCTATGTAGAGAAAAAACATCCAAAAAAGAAGCCGCGCCAAGCGGTACCCTCTTGCTCTGCACAGCGGCAACTTGCATGGCTATTGCTGCGGGCGGGTTAAGTCTGATGGAAAGAGACCGCCTCGAGCTTCTGCGGCAGGAAAACAAAGCATCGTGGCTCAGAGTCTCCCGGCACACGGCGCGCCCAGCCTGCAGCCCGGGGCTGGGGCGGCCGTGTCCGAGGCGCATTCGTTGCTAAGGGGCACTGTGGCTGGCCTGCGGAGCGCGGCTGCCGGCGCCCGGGTGTCTGCAGCTCCGCGGAACCTGCAATCGCTGCCGCACCGCCTGAATGAACGCCCTGTGGCCTGGCGTGGGAGGGCTAGGGAAGCCCCAGCACCCCAGTCATTTCCCGCGTGGAAGTTTTCCGTGAGTTGATGGCTCTTCCCCCCCACCCCGCCCCTCCCCACGCCGCAGCCCGGGATGGCTGTGAGACCCAACAGAGCTGCTACCGCGTGGCTGGCGATGAACAGCTCAGCTGGAGAAGAGTTGAACACCGGTGCCTGGGTGAGGCAGAGAATGTCTGGGACAGCGAATCGCAGGGATGATGAGGCAGCTTGGAAAATGCTGCTTAGAGCTGCCTCGGCAAACGGAACGAGGAGGACAGATCTGATTCGAATCTATATTGGATTCAGGGATACCAGAATGAATTCGTTCATTTGCCTTAAGAATGTTTTCCTTTGGTTTCATCATTCCTCCCTGAAGTCCTGAGGAAAATATCCCAATCGACCAAGAGACCAAGATCTTACCCACCCCGAAGACTCTTCCAAGTCTTCTCAAAACTGCAGAGATTTCCACATCATTTTGTGAAGCTACCCCTCGCCCCCCACACACACACACACTCACTCTGTGTATGCCCACTCGGTGGGGTGGTGAGACTGAGAGACTGATAGGGCTATGCATTCGAGTTAACTCAAACTTTCCCTAACTAAATGCCTGCTTTCCCCCACTCCGTGAAGTTTCCACCTTGTTTTCAGCATTCATTCACTCTGACTTTTGTCTTCATGTCCCAACCAGCATTTGCAAAAACACACCCTTAAATATATGTTATTTAATCGTGGGTTCTGCTTTTGGCTTGGAAAAGCTGGAGATTCATCAGCAGCTAAAGGGCAAAGAGTGTCATATATTCTACTATTCAATAGTAAACTCCATGTGCGTAAATCCTGCAGATTTATTTTGGTGACTCAAACCTCTGATTGGGGATTAATGAAGACGTAATATGAATTCCAAAGAAGTTGTAATTAAAGTGTCAAGCTGGTGAACTTGCTTTATATTAAGAGGAACTGCATCTTCTTCCCTTCTAAGTTTCTCCATTCAACAAATTTTATGAGATATAATTGACATGTATCACTGTATTTGGTTCAACATAATGATTTGATAATTGTGTAGGCTGTGAAATTACACCACAATAAATTTAGTTAACATATAGTTAAATTCTTTCCTTTGTGATCTAAGCTCTTAGCCACTTCAAATGTGAGATACAGTATCATTGACTATGGCCACCCTACTACAGTAACCTCTCCCCATGTCCCACGTTAAACTTTAGAAAAAGATTGTCTCAGCCCTTGTAAGGCAGAGCGCCAAAGATCGTAACTAAAGTATTCAGAGCCATAGCCTGTTTTTACAAAACAGATTTCAAAGTAATTCCTTCTCCCTGGGTTACTACCAAGACATAATCCCAGGAAATTTTTTAAGAGGTGGAGCTAATTTTTTTTTTCACTTTTCCCTCAATGTTTTGTTTTGAAAATTTTCAAGCACTCACAAAAGTTGTGGTTGTTTGGTTAAAAACCAAGATCCAAGCAAAGACTGCATTTGGTTGTTATTTCCTTGTAGTGTATGTTTATTCTTGGAAAGCCCATTCATAGCATTGATTTTTTTTTTAGCACAATTTCATTTGCTTTCTGGT